CACCTCCCAGATGTTCATAATAGGGGAGAGGGCCTACGTCACCCGCTCAACCCATGTCGTAAAGTAGCACGTGGATGAAGAGCCCCCCTGCTATAAGTCATCAAACTGCAGCCCCTGCTGAAGAACAGTGAGAGCAAGCCAAGGAACAGTCTTTCACACCCAAGCTATGCCCATCTTAAATCATCATTAACATTTGTAAGATTTCCAAGGCAACGGTCCAGGTTTCTCCCTCTGTCCAGAAATTCTATACTTACAATAGCCCCCGGGTAGTAACCTCCAACAGTCACGTTTTGAGTTCTTGTTGTGGCAGCAAGGCCCACTGTGAGAATTAGGAGCGAGACAATGAGGAGGCTCACAGTGACATAGAGGGAATTTCGCTTCCTTCTACTGAAAGACCCTAAAAAGATACATAGGGAATTAAATAAGAGGATGTACCTGTTCTGTCAACAAATCCACCAGAAGCCCCGCTCCAAACTCCAACATGTTCTGCGGGGGTCCACTGGGGAGTCATAAAAGAGCACTTCTGAACATACCACACATTGTCTGACACCAGGTTAATGATTTGCTCATATTCTCCACTCCAGTTAGCATCAGCTCCTCCAGATCTTGGGCAGAGAGAGAAGTTTACTTTCACCTACTACATTTTATCTGGATTACAACTGAGATCTTCAGCATCCAAAAAACAGTGTTCTACCAACAAGCAGTAGTTTCTTTCCCCCTCTTTGAAAATGACAACCTAAAGATGACCAGAAGGAATCCTGGTTTTGTACCATCTATGGCTTAGTAGTTAGATCCAGATAGTGCAATTATAAATTTACTTCTTACTCTATGGTTACAAGATAACCATCTTCTTTCTATAATCTATCCTGTCTAATCATCAAAACCATAAATCATAAGTCTTTTTTCTGTTTCACACAAAAAGTCTATAAGGGGTTTCCAGTCAGCAGTAAACGTAGATATTGTCTTTTCTCTGATCAAAGAAGTCAATTTAGCCATCTCAGCAAGTTCCATCATCTTCACCAACCATTTCTCCATTGCGGGTAATGCTGGATCTTTCCGTTGTTGTGCAAACAATAATTTCGCTGCAGTTATCATGTGCAAAAACAAAGTTCCATGACTTTTTCCAACTGTTTGTCCACCAATCCCGAAAGACAAACCTCTGGTCTCAATTGTATATTAATCTTTAAAATCCTCTGAATCAGTGTGTGTATTTGAATCCAGAATTTTCTAGCTTATTTACTTATCCATCAAACATGATAAAATGTCCCTTCGTGTTCCGACTGAGCACAAATTGAGAAGAAAAGTAAACTATAGTAGTAGGAACACCCCAGAAGAGTCCCAATCAGACTCCTAAAATTTTGAGTTGACTCCACCTGCCCCATTAAAAGGGACTTCCACTTCTGCTGAACGGTAAAGTTTTTGAATTCAGTTATTTTATGTATGCATGTATTTCAACAATTGATATGGCCACCCATTTCACAGCAGTGACTCTGGGCAGCAAAGAAAGTTAAAACCAACAATGAAAACAATCTAAATATTGTAACGCATGTCCAAGATTGCAAACAGCCAATTCCAACTTACAATTCATAATACTATGTCAGCTGGCAGAGCTCACAACCTCCTAGCCCCAAACGCCCGAGGGAGCAGCCAAGTCTTTAGCACCTTGTGAAAGGCTAACAAGGATCTGTCTAGTCAGCTAAGAGACTAACAGCCTGTGCAGATCCACCAAAAAAAAAAAAAAAAAATTGAT